CAGCGAAATTAGCAGTTTTTGAAAGACTTCATTTGCAAATACTTTTAGAGCCATTAATTTCCGCTAATAAAACCCTGCACTCCTAGTTATGTTTTTTGCAGTACAGTGCTCCTATGCTGCAACAGCCGCAAAAACCCACTTTGTGTCCATCTGTGTGAGTGCGTTTATGTGTGTTAAGGTGTATGTATGTTCTTTTGTGTGTTTTTGCGTTTGTCCGTCCGGGTATTTCGACTCGGCAGCCATCCAGGCTTCGATGCTAAAGCTTTGCTAATATGTACCTCGATCAACTGCTACCCCAGAAAAGTGATACCAACATTCTACATGTCTAAGTTTCACGTACGGGCACATGAAAGCTTTGGCGAGGAAATTACTAACTTGGAAAAAAGAAAAGCTAGAAAAGCAAAATTTAGGGACTGTCTTCTGTTTATGTGCGATTCAAAGATTTTGAATCCAGCTCCTAAATACGTAGATCTCAAATATGGATACGAAAAAGTTCGAGCGGAAAATTGTTGGTATCCTTCCAAGCTCGGGTGCCATAAGACATAAAAATGAAATTTTGTGAAGGTGTTTCATATCTGCGTGTGGCCTGAGATGTTCAGAATTAGTTTCTACACAAGCCTGAGTGTCACAGATGCATAAAAATTTTGGTGGGAATTTTTCCAAATTGGTAGCCGAAAAGTTAGGAAGCTGAATGATTATGAAATGCTTTTCTGTCCGAGTGCAATACCAAAAAACCCGATTTCTGATCTAATGTGTGCATATTTATCAAATACGTAGAAACACGTGAAATTTGAAATTGCACAATTTTTCAAACCTGCTACCAGGCAATCTAAAAAGTTCAAACTTTTTATACTACGAGCCTTGACGTGTTTCTATCCCTAACGATACCACAGGAGTCAAACATCACCTTTCAAAGCGAAAAATTCGACTGTGCTATGATGAGTGAAGAAAATTCTGAAGCAAAACGGTCACTTATTAAGTAAGCGGTCCCTTTAGCTTATCGCAAAAATGCAGGATCGCAAAAACAACTTTGGTGAGCGCTCCTGCCGGTTTTTCCTTCAGCCAACGCCCCACCACCTATTTTGCGAAAAAAGTGCATAGGAGGAGGCGAAATAATTGGCATAGAAGTTTTCTTCATTGTTATCAGCTATTATTATTAGCTGTAAAAAAATCTTTTCCTTAATGAGAGTCAGTTACATTGAGAACATGTTTTTCAGGAGCGATTATCCATCATATTACAGCCGTTACTATTATTATTACGATGATTATCCACGCTACCGCTATTCATATTACTATCCTTACCGCTACAGCTACTATTCACCTTTTGATCGTTACTGGCTTTCGTCCTCTTACTGGGACCGGCGCTTCAGGGTAAGTATTGTTCCAGTTTCTTTGAGATCCCTGGAACTTTCAACAAACAGCACTCAATTGCTGCAGTGGGATTTAGCAGTTCAAAGCATGAATGACTGATCTTTTTTATTTTCTAGAATTTTGAAAACGTAATAATTTCTTAAATAGTTTGTGGATCCTTGGCTTGTTACGTAGAAATCAATTAAAGTTTTGGCGGAACAGCTGTTAATTCGAGAACAAGGTAAACTAGGAAGCCGGACTTTTGGGAGGATGCCTTTTGCTCACAAGCGATCTAGAAATTTCAAATTCAATTCCTAAGTACGCCTAGTTCTCAATTACGATTAGGTGGAAGTTTAGGCGGGAAATGACTAACTCGGGACCAGAATAGCTAGTCATTTTCAATGAACTACGCTTAAAGGAAATTATTTATTTTCCTTAATGCAAAAATTACGGTGATTTATGGCAATGAATACATGAGTGAAATGTAAAGCAGCAATCATCATGCATTTAGCGACCTAATTAGCGCAAAAACGCACGATCGCATTGGCAAGCCTGGCGCCTTCCAGCCTGGATTTTTTTAAAATACGCCACTGAAAAATTGTACAGCTTAGTCCTCTCGCATATACTTTCAAACTTTGTTTTTTTTTTTTTGAACTGCCGTTACCATCTGTTGACCACTGTCTTTCTCGAAGTTCCCCTCCAAATTCCGTGTGCAAAGAATACTGTGGTCCACACCCCCGGTTTTATCCTTTTTCATGCTT